AGTTTAACTGCCACTGGACCAGATCTCAGCAGAAGATGGTGCTCTAGAGAAGTCATTATGGCCAGTTATGGGTGTAAACATGACCTACATTCCACCCCCATTAAGCATAACGTATGAGAGGTCATACTGTAGTGTTTGTTAAGAATGGAGGGAGTAGATGCCACTCTGAGCGTCTGTGAAAGGCTACGATTGTTTGTTAGTGTTTTTCTCTAGACAGAGCATTGTTTAGATGGGTTAGGTTCCTCTGATGGACAGGGCATCCAGAATTCAGTGAAACATGCACTGATAGGTGTCATTTTTGCTACTTTGGCAACAGGAAATTTTATAACTCTTGTATGCAATAACAAACCAGGACTAAAATTATTTCATACCACAGAATCTTTAAAGCACACAAACAGGGAGACATTTCTGGCTTTGGCGCTTTTAACTTGTTTTGGGAGCCCTGTTCCATGAAAACATAGTTTAAGAGATCATTCCTCATAACACTTGAACTCAGTTATGTGGAAAGCTACTTATTTATGTTCATACCAGGGCTTAATTTGTGCTGGAAGGAGCTGGATCCAGATCCTGCTACGTTGACGTGACTGGACCTGTTGAAGCCGGATCTGGCCCATCCCAAATTGGATCTGGCACCTCAGATAACCACATTAAACACATTAATGTGGTTATCTGTAGAGACGTATCAAGAAAATGTATGTTTTGTACAAGCAACTTTCTGTGTACACTACTGTGCAAAGATCTTAAGCACATTGTTTAAAACCATTTACCTTGGCGAAAAGTGTTTTTGCCAGTAAAAACTCTGTATATTATTAAAATAGATGCAAATAAACAGTAAATTGTTTTCAGAAAAATGGTTGATCTCTTGTGAGCTAGTTTGAAGAACAAAGTTTGGTTCTAGATGTCTGCTGGAAGCCCCAGCTGTCACATAGATTGGTTAAATTCCATCAGCAGCACACTTTGGTGTGCTGTTGATCAGCCAAGCCAGGTGTTGGGTGATAACTACAAATAATACTGGGCTGCCATGAAGGGAGGATTTGAAATGGTACATACATAAAATCACTGCTTGTTTTAATGTTTGTATTCATTCTAGTATTAGCGGTTTTCTGGGCGGATAAGTACTAACTACCCAGATTTTTACACAGCCTTTTGAAATGTAGTTTTCTCAAGTGCCTAAAACTTTTACACAGTGCTGTATAACATAAGAAAATGTGTAAAAACTAAAAAGAAGCATGCTGTGTCACTTATATATGCTTTTTTGTTTAAATCCTGTTTAGGGATGCACAATAACAGAAACAGTAATAAAACCAACATGCCATGACACTAAGTGGCACAACATGCTACTTGTTAGTTTTTCCACATTTTCTTATGTTATACAGCTCTGTGCAAAGGTTTTAGGCACTTGAGAAAATTATTTATCACTCGCAACTGCACCACATTTGTGCAACCACTGGCTTGTGACATTGATTTGTTAGCTACCCATGCGTGCGAAACTCGTTTGTTTTGGCAAACCTATTTATAAGAGAGCATTCAGTACTTATCATGATTCAGTATTTTGGGACCTCATCATTTGCAAATTAAGCCCTGCTTCATGTACTGTATGAAAACTGATACAGTGCATTCACTTGCAATGCAATGCTTATGCATGAACATGCACGTTTTCCTCTCATTAAATATTGTTTTGAAAATGCAAGACTTCTCATTTAAACAGTTCTGTTGGCTGCATAGTGTGTTTTAGTGTCCCTGTAGTGAAGCGTCTCTTGGGTGCTGAGCTCTCCTTCTTTGATCTTCCTGTTTTTCTCAGGTGTTCCTGGCTCACAGCTCAGGCACTTGTCAGCATTCCTCCTTTCACGCTGGGAGAACTTTCTGTTTCAAATTCTTCTCTTTCCTTCCTCTGTCTCGTTTTCTGGGCAGCTGTTTCTGGCCATAGCATTGTTTTTTTGCAGATTATTACAGAAATACACTGCTTTGAATTAGTTTGCATGACCAGTTGTTCTTTTCAGTAGTGCAGTGAGCACCTGTCCTGGAATTGTTAAAGCAAAAGACTTAATACAGTTCTTACAGTTCTTGTGAGTGATGCCATAGATTAACTGCATTTCCCCTCCTAAAGAAGCTTTCAGAACCGTTTCTGTAAAAGAGAATAGTGTGATGCATTCTGCATTCCTGTGTGTGACCTTGGTGTTATGAAAATAGTTAGTTTCCAAATTCCTCTCTGTGACAAAGATTGAACATACTCTGCTTCCAGGGCAGTCAGCTATCTATTACTGGCAGCAGGCTATGTTGATGTAATCTAACTCCTTTTTCCCTTCCAGAACAGCACACTTGAGCATGTTATTCTCAGGTTACCTTTTTTTCATCTCATTCACCAGGTCTTTCACTTCAGGCAGTTCTCTTCCAGCTTGTATTTATTTAATCTCAAAACATCCAAAGGACGGGCCCAGCTTGCAGACACCTTAGCCTCTTATTCTAATATGCTGCAGCTGCTTATGCACTACAGGTCTCTGATGGCTGTACTTAAATGTGTGGTTCTATTACTGTGTTTTGAGGTCTCAGAGTTTGCCCATGTGAATTCCAGGCTGAAGTGGACTTGGTGCCATATCCACTACTCTTTCCACTAGAACATGCACATAGCTCTCTTGGTGAAACCTCTAAGTACAGACAACTATATTAAAAAAAGATCTTGAAAGGCCAAGAGTGAAAGATTGCTAAGCTGTTGAATGAAGCTGTCAAGGGCATTTTATCCGTGGGTCATTTCTGAATTTGGTGTGTGCTGAGAATGAGAGAATTCCCAGCAACAGGCAAAAACATACTGCTAAAAACTGGTGAAGTACTAGAAGAAGCTAAAAGGAAAGGACAACAATGCAAAAAATGGTTCCTTGCAGGTGAATACATCTTAAATGTAGACAATATGTCTGTTTTTTTTTTCATTATGACTGTTGTAGGAATATTAGAAGAATATCCAACCAATTTCTAGACATTCTTACTTACTTGATGTCATTTAAGTGAAATTCTTAACGTACTGGAAGATACAGTTTAGCTACATTTAGCTTGTTTGCCAGAAATAACGTTGCCGGTTTGACAAGATTTCACTTGATAAGATCAATTTGTTCAATTTATTTGTAAACATTTCATTTACAATCTTATATTCCTACAACAATCTCATGGGAAATATTAGATCTGCTGTCTACAGTTAATGTTTCACAAGTGTAGACACCTAAAACAGCGTAAAACCTTTATCCTTAAGTATAAAAATAAGAATTGGGCATTTTATGATCATTTAAGGTAGATCATTTTTCCTCTAGACTCAGATTAAGGCTAGTTTTTGGCTACTAAAGGAATATCAAGGTACTAGACACCCTATATTATGCCCCTGAAATAGGCCTACATGCTGGCAGCCATTGCAGCAACAGGTTTCAAGTATGTGGGTTACTGCCCATGGCTTCTAATGTTGTCTTTCTTAAGTACAGCCATACGTGCAGCAGGCAGAGACAGATTGTGGCTGTAATCTTGCCTGGTGGTTCCTGCTGCTTTAGGCAAAGTCCCACAGTGCCATTTTCAGTGTATGATTAAATATAGCAGAGAGTACTTTCCCAGGCCAGACTGATTAAAGTCATTTCTGCATTTATGGGTCCTCTGTGAATTCAAGGGCAAAGGACTTGGGTCCAGTTGCATTTGTTATGATTCAAAAAAGAGAGAGACGGAGAAGAAATCTAGATGAAAAGATAACGTGTGAGTGAAACCAACAGTGCTTGGACATAGAGGGGTGCAGCTGTCTGTATATTGGCCTCTGGCTGCTAGATGAGATGTCCCTGCTTAGTTGCCAGCGTTGATTAAGCAGCCCCCCTCAGGACCACTATAGCAGCAAACTGAGGAGCTACTGTAGAGCTACATATCTCTGCTAGCCTTTTCACTCATCCTTCCGCACACACCCATCCAAATGAGTCACACATCCATGGTCTCCTTTTTCAAATCTGCTCTCTACAGGGATCGAGAGGGCATTTAGCCAAGACTGATTGCTTTTTGTCCAGTTAACCATGGTAAATCTTCTTAATGTGACCTTAATACTGTATATATGGAATAATTTCTGACCGGTCTAATTAGGAACCAGTCTTCATTTTGTGAGCTATGTTTGTAATTTTAGTTTCAGAACATGTTGTAATGCAAAAAAAAAGTCAGAGTTTGTGAGTGAAAATATTTATTTCCCATACTTTGGACACCATTTAAGCGAATTCTTGGGCTGAAAAATTCCTTTGTTCTGGTTTCTGGGCTTTGCACTACATGCAGTAATCCTATCAAGCACTTCATGCCTCTAAATTGATGTGACTGGACCCAGTGAAGAAATGCAGTCTGTGACCTATTTTAGCACACATGCTGAACTTCTTGTACTGTTGTTGAGCTTGAGAAATGCAGAATGGCCCTAAGTTACTTTAATCTCATGTCTGAATGCACTGTGAGATATAAAACTTTGACGTTTGAAGAAAAAGGTTATTTTTTCCTTTAGGTTAGTTGTGCTTGATCAGCTTTGGGTGGTTAGCTCAATTGATTACCGTAGTGTTGAGTTTAAAATGGTACACTACGGAGTTGGACTATGGTTTTGTAACTAATCAAAGTAACAGCGAATTTGCCACCCATGCTGTCATGTGCACGATTACACACAAACAACTACACTCAATCTATCCTGAAGGTCAGAGCACAGCATTCAAAATAATTATAATTTAAGGTAAATGACACATTCTACATTCTTTGACCAAAATTGTTAGGCGATGCAGTTTCTCATAAGGTTGAATGGTATTTTTGCCAGCATTCTGTAAAGCATGTCCAATGTGGCAACAGTTGCCAACAACAGGCTCATCATTTGTGGGCAAAGCACTAAAATCATTTCCGCCTTAAAACTAAACCCTTAAAAGCTACAACTTCTTTTAGACCTGCTAATTTCCACTTGCCCTGTAGGTCTGTGTTTTCCAGACTAAATAAAACAGCCTCTTCAATTTATTTTCTTCCAGCATTGGCCCGAAATGCCAGCAGCAGCCTTTCGCTGAACTCATTCCCTGTGTGACGGAGGGAGAGAGCAAAGGAGCAAGGCAGTGAGGGCAAAGAGGAGTGATGGGGGAGACGGAGGATGAGAGGAATTCTCAGGCTAGCCAGCTCTTTGAGAACTTTGTGCAGGCCTCCACGTGTAAAGGCACCCTCCAGGCCTTCAGTGTCCTGTGCAGGCAGCTGGAACTGGACCCGGCTGACCACCAAGGCTTCTACAGCAGCCTCAAAACAGCAGTCACCTCCTGGAAGGCCAAGGCCCTCTGGACCAAGCTGGACAAAAGAGCCAGCCACAAGGAGTACAAGAAAGGCCAAGCATGCGCAGACACCAGGGTATGTCACTAGTACTTGTTTTTAAAGAACAAGAGCTTATAATCTAACGTCTTGATCGAATAAGTTGCATAGATCTATTTTAGAAGTAACATAACCTAGTATCTCAAACTGTAACTTTATAAGAGAAGGAGGAAAAAGTATTCTTAACTTTAATGTACCAGATTTATTCTGAACATTTTTGGACCTTCTTTGTTTGTCATGGTCATGAAATGTTCACACAGTATAAAAGACAGCTCGTATTAAAAATAATGTAAAAATGTGTTTCTAGAGTATTTCTGCATCTAGATAAAAGTAACTGCTTAGAGTGCATTTAATGATAAGGTAAAATAGAATGATTTCAGAGATAATGGAGACAACGACATTGTTTTCTTCTGTATAACTCATTTCATAACAAAAATTGACAAAGAACCAACGGTTCAATTTAAGCATGCAGTGTACTCCAGCTACTTTTGCGTTACATATTTTCTGCACTGTAAACTGATCTAATGTTTACTTTAACTTTAAGCCATGACAAATGCAGAAAGAAAATCTGGAAAATCCCCCCCCCTCCCAATACCCCCATGATATGCTGTGTGTTGTCCACTTTTCAAATAAGCTGATAGCACTGTAATCTGACCTCCTGTCATCCAATCTCTCCGACCTAAACACACCTTCTCTCATCACAACAACTTTCCCCAGAGAGTGATGCTTTGTGTTGGACCAGGTCATGCTACTCCAAACCACATGTATAGCCATGGCCTACATATTGAATGCTATTAATGAGAACTATGTTGTGTATACTGGAATTCCTGCATAGATTATTGTGGGAGCAGTTCTTCTCCATCAAAAGGGAGATTACACATCAGCGTGGATTCATTGTATGCTGTCCAGTATGTTTTCTTTACCCAGAATAGTTCACTTTCTCTAGACTGCTGCTTTAGCCCTTACTCTGCGTCGTTAAATTCATAAAGGCATTAAATTCATAAACAGTAATTTGTAATACTATAGTAAGCTATCTACACGTTACAATCAGAATGACAATAAATAATAGTGAATGCTCTGTGTATATATAGACCATCAAAGCCTTTAAACTTTTACATGTACATAAAATATTTTCATGAAATCTTGCATATTTTCCATTCATGTTATAGAATTTTAAATAGTTATTTTTTTCCATTAAACTGTAAACTTTTAAGATGGACATCAGCTCTCAAAGTTCATAGCAAGATGTGATACTGTACCATAAAATGTAATGGTATTTGTAATTGTACTGTAAATTACAGCAGTGTACAGTGCAATATCTTTCACTGCTCTGTCACAGATAAGTAATAATACTTTCAGTCTATGTGTTAAGAGGACTGAGCATTCTTACTTTAACCAGAGCTCTTTACAAACATCGCTCTTGTGAAATACTTACAGCGTAAGAAGGTAGTTAGATAAGAGAGTTTTAGTCAAATAAGCACTCATTTCCATGTTGTCTTTTGTTAGTCAAATCAGTTTGGTGGGATTCAGCTGATCTACACGCTGGATTGCTTTCTGTTTCTCTTTTGTGGACATAGCCGGTAGAAATGAGTGCTGTTCCAGATTCTGTCGGGTCACTTTGGGCTGCTATTACCCCTTAAGTGACCTCTGAACTGGTCAGAGGTCAGAAAGTCAAGGCACTGTTGTAAGAGCTAATAAATTGCTTAAAATAATGATTGGCACTACACATTGGATTAGCATCTTATTTTTTGTATATGTACCTTTTCATATGCTTTCTTGGTAATACTGGACACCACACATTGGTCTTTTGATTGTCAAATGATGTCGTGGATCCACTAAGTAGCATGCACCAAAGTTCATCGCTGAAATTTCGAGTTTTTAATGTAAATGGGAGGAGCTAAACTGCTATAGGCTGAATAGGCGGATATATTTAAGTGTGATTTTGTGAATTCTTAGAAACAATTAGTTAAAATCATATCATAAAATCATTGTAGCATATTTTCAATATACTTTACTATCATAAATGTATATATACTTTAATTCCCTTATTTTTGGTATAACGCTTGGCTACACTTAAATGTGGGTCATCCTCAATATTGTCAGAGTTTAAATAAAGGTTGGTTGATTTAAGGGCTTATTAATTAGGCCAGTTGACAGATCTGAGGTGTGTTGGAGCGGACACAACACTGAAGTGTGCACTGTTGGGGTGATCTAGGTCAGGATTAAGATCAGGAAACACTCTCAGAACATTCAGTGCTTAAATGAACATTGAAACTGTGGCAAAAATGATGTAATCTCCTTTTTTGTGCATGATCAAGACTGTAAACTAGTTCACATTCTGGTATTTACACTCAGCTGCTACCTTCTGATGTACAACAACAAGCTACTCTATTCAAATCCTAAACAACCAGCTAATGTTATATAAAATAATACTACATGCTTACAAATCACTTGATTGACTATAAATGCTGCGGTTCTGTGTTGTAGTGTTTGTATGACTTCAGTTTTCCCAGAGGCTTTGATAACAAGTTGATAGAAGGCCATAAAGGAAGGAAAGCACAGTTGGACTGCTGAGAGAGAGTACATAGTGAAGTTTTATTGCTCCATAGTGTAATTATTATTTCAGTACTGAGTCAGTGTTCAGTTCATCAGTGTAGTAAATTAGTTTAAGTACAGGTTGTTCTGGTATTATTGCATTATACAATAGTTCTTCATAGCTTTTCTTTGTCTGTGAATACCTGAATGCCCACATGTCCATGCCTGTCTGTGTTTATCTGGATTAAACATGTTTAACCTTGCTCAAGCAAACAAAGTGGAGTTGTTTGTCAATATAAGTCGATGTAAAGTATTTTTTAACCTTCAGCATGGGCTTGTATTTTGTGCATGTTTTTAGAAACATGATCAGAATAGTTTTTGTGTTCTAAGAGCATATTGCTTGTCCCTGTTGTAGGTTATATATCTCATTTATAGCTTGATTTAGGGCCATCGTAGTTATGCAGTTAAACTCGGTTATTCCAAAATTAATTATTAATTTAAAATCGACCTTCACAACAGTGATTAGGTTAGCAATCAAACATCAGACCCCTGTTCCACTAAGCCATTTAAATTCCATCACCCGGATTCTTATCTTGGCCCTTTTTCTGTTTCTGAACACCTGGTAGTCTCCTAGGCCTGAGGAAGCTTAAGCTTAATCCTTTAGCCTGGCTCTGTGGGTCTGGGTCAGGGTCAGGCTCTGTTAGCATTTCTGTATAAAGCTCTCCTAAATGCCTTCCAGCCTGGAGAGAAACAAACATTAGCAGCCTTTAGAGGGGAGGAGTGCTTCCTCCAGTGTGGATGCCCAACAGTGCAGGAAACTGACAGACTCATATCCGCCTGCACCTCACAGGAAGCCTTCCACATCATGCCAATGCAGAGATACAGACATAGCACAGACATCTGGGCAAAACTGCTGTACCGAGATATGAAGTAGCTTGAAAGTGAGCTGGGGTTGTTATGATATGCGTAGTAATATTCTTTCAGTATAGGGGTTGAAAGACAAAACATGCTCTAAAAGGAATGCAGATGTTATGCTGTAGAAAGTATAGACATAATGGTATAATTTGCAATGGTTTCCACTGTTCTGTTAAAAACATTGTGTTTTTCCTAGATAACCGCAAAATTATTGAGAAAAACTGCCCTACAAACACTCATTGTGTGTTTAAGCTTATGTCTTAAAATTACTTGTGTAAGTTATGCTTAATTGTAACCTAATAAGAAATCTTCATAAATTTGCAAGGTAGTGCAAGATATATAGACTCACCAAGCACTTTATTAGGAGCGCTATACTTATACTGAATACTGGGCCTCGCTGTGCTCTCGGAACAGACTCAATTCTTTGTGGCATGGATTCCACAAGTTGTTGGAAACATTCCTTTGAGATTCTGGTCCAGAATTTTCAGGTGCACTTTCATGCTGCATATCTTCTGTTCTACCACATCCCAAAGGTGTTCTGTTGGATTCAGATCCGGTGATGGGGAAGGCCTCTGAGGAACACTGAATTCATTGTCATGGTCTTGAAACCAGTTTGAGACAATTTTTGTTTTGTGACATGGTGCATTATCATGCTGGAAGTAGCCATTATAAAATGGGTCAATTGTGGAAATGAAGAGATGCCTATGTTCAGCACAATACTAAAATAGGCTGTGACTTTCAAGCGATGATTGATTGATTGATATTAACAGGCCCAAGAAGACAAGTGTGGCAAGATGACATTTCCCACACCATTACACCACCTCCACCAGCCTGGACTGTTGACACAAGGCAGGTTGGGTCCATGGATTTATGTTGGTGCCAAATTCTGACCCTACCCTTTTCTTTTTTTTATTGTTTCGAAATGTATAGCATCATGCTGCAGAAACTCTATCATATGAAATTTGTGCATCGTATCGTTACACCTGAATTCATAACATTAGACAAATAAAATATTTTGTCTATGCTATGTGGTTTTTGGAACGTGGTGATATTGCGAATGGTGATGTGTTTCTTTGTGTACTGTGAAACTGCTCTTTCAGGCCTGAATTTCAGTTGTGTACACTGTGGAAGTTGTCTGAACATTCACTCTGTTAACACAGCAATAAACTTGTTTATTTGTGCATGTTCTCAGGAGCAAAGACTGCTGACCTATATGGACATAAATGGTCAATAATTTAAGAACAAGCAAAGGTCTTTTAACATATTTAGTAGTCACAGGTTTTACAGCTGTGTGTGTATGTACACTTCCTTTTTTGGTTTGCTAGTGAAGCATCTTGCTAGTCTTCCACGCCCACCCAATCATATCCCAATAACATGAAGTAATAAAATGTTGCCTCACCGACTCAGACAGTTCAATAAAAGCCTTTTATGGAGCGAAGCAGCTGCTGTATTGTGCCAGGTAAACACCACTTATGACAGTAACTCTGACTCATTTGTCTATTGTACAACAGCAGACTGTATGTAGAGGAGACCTCTGTGATCGCTTAATCCAAACCACATCTGTAGCTTCCATGCAGCTGTTAGTGCTCTGTGGAGACAGATCCCTCATCTGTGAGAGCAGTCAGTCAATCTGTTGTGTCTTGCTTGGTCATCATGGACCGTTTAAAGCTTGCATGCAAGGCTTAAATCCTCTTGAGAGCACTGTAGTTGATACTGTGAACTTGTTTGGATTTGCCAATGGATTTTACAAGTGATAAACTTGAGGAATTATTTGGTCATCACCACAGAGTGTTGACAAAGATTAGTCCAGAAGCGAATGAACTCATTTATATTGTTTGACAGTGTGTACACACACACAGGCTAACCCAGCACAACCTCTTGATGATCTACATGTGCTTAACTGAGTTGGTTTAAGTTCAGGGTTCATTCATCATATTTTTCTTTGTATTTTGGTAAGTCTCCAGGAAGTACATAACACACAGGTTTTTTTATAACAAAGTATGTTTTGTGGCATGTTCCTTCTCCAGTGTTGTGCCAGTGTTCATACTTGCTTATATTGCATCATCCATCTGTTTCTACAGTGTCTCATCATCGGTAGTGGTCCTTGTGGATTGCGTACAGCCATAGAGCTGGCCCTGCTGGGAGCCAAGGTTGTGGTGATTGAGAAGAGAGACACCTTCTCCAGGAATAATGTTCTCCACCTTTGGCCTTTCACTATCCATGACCTCAGGAACCTCGGAGCTAAGAAATTCTATGGGAAATTCTGTGCTGGAGCCATAGACCATATCAGTAAGTGTAAATCATCCTGTTTCTCTTTACATTTAAAGTACAGTTAATCCGAGCCTAATCATTTTCACAAATTTAAGTATCCATGTACCTAAACCTCAGATTACATGTGCCATCTGGTGTTGGTGTTGTTGGTGCTCTTGTTGGTGTTTTGGCGTCCTTGTGGGTGTTAATTGGTGGTGTTCTTGCTCTTCTGTGATCAGGTATTCGTCAGCTGCAGCTGATCCTCCTGAAGGTGAGTCTGATCGTGGGGGTGGAGGTGCACGTCAATGTCGAGTTCCTCAGTCTCTTGGAGCCATCTGAAGAACAGGGCAGTGATGGTGAGCAGCTCAAACATTTTCACTTTTATTTATTTCCTTAATATCTTGACTTTCCAGTCAGCTTAAATTACAGCACTGCAATAGATGTGCCTTATGACTTCCTAGTGGCTGAAGTCGTACGCTTTAATGATGTCCCCCCAGCCCACCAGCTGGAGAAGCGTAGTTCCCTGACAACTGTATGGGATCATAGTCTTAGAATCTTACCCACACCCGTTGCATGGCAAGTGTTGATACCGTATCAGTCTCTATTGCTCTTTCACGTCAACCAGTTCATAGTTCAGATGTTGCTGTCCATTTGATACAGGCTGCTGACTACTATCTCACTCCCCTAACTCTTGTACTCGGGTCTATTCACCCCCACATTCTGGCACTCTCTGTTCCCACATCTTGTGCCTTTTTTAGTACAAGTACGACGACCGAAACGTGCAGCATAAGTTAATGTTAAATGCAGCTCTTGATGGCATCCATCTAAGGCTGCAGTATCTACAGATACATTCAGGTTTAAAAGTATTTGGACATTGCCACACTTTTTGTAATTTTGCCTCTGTACGCAGCCACAATGGATTTGAAATGGAGCAGTCAAGATGTGATTGGACATTAGACCTTCAGCTTTAATTCAAGGGGTTTAAAAATACTGTTTTAACCATTTAGTAATTGCATCTGTTTTTGTACATAGTCCCTCAATTTTCATAGGCTAGAAAGTAATTGGACCGTTGACTGATAAGCAGTTTCATGGCCTGGTACGTCCTGTACCCTCATTATTTCATGACAGATTAAAGAAGTAAAAGGTCTGGAGTTGATTCCAGTTCTCCATATGCGGTCCAAAGAGGCATTGATGCAAGTGAAGGGGGCCATTACTATGGTGCAAAAAAAAAACAAAACAAACCGATCAGAGATACTTTTAGGAGTGGCCAAGTTGACAATTTGGTACACTCTTAGTGTGATGGTACTCTAAAGTGGATGATGGCAAAACTGGGGAAAAACCCCTTCACAACATCTGCTCAAGTTAAGGATGTTCTAGAGGAGGTTGGCATAGCATTGTCAAAGTCTGCGTTCAAGAGACGCCTTCATGAATGTAAATACAGAGGGTTTAACTCAAGATGCAAACCACTGGTAACACTCAACAACAGAAAGTCCAGATTATACTTTGTCAGGAAACAACTAAACAAGCCTGCCCAGTTCTAGAATAATATAGATTCTTTGGACAGATGAAAACAAGATTAACTTGTACCAAAATGATGAGAGAGAAATTAAGGGCTCATGATCACATCTGTCAGACATGGTGGAGGTAGTGTTATGGCATGGGCATGTATAGCTGCCAATGAAACTCAGTCACTGGTGTTTATTGATGATGTTAATGCTGATAGAAGTAGCAGTATGAATTCTGAAGTGTATAGAACTATACTTTCTGCTCAGATTCAATCAAATTCAGTCAAATGCGGCAAAACTGATAGAATGGTGCTTCATAGTACAGATGGATAATGACCCCAAACATACCATGAAAGCAACCCAGAGCTTCTTAAAGCAAAGAAATGGGCTGTTTTTAAATGCTTGAGTCAGTCACCTGACCTCAACCCAACTGAGCATGCTTTTCTCTTACTGAGGACAAAAATACCCACAAACAGGCAGCAGTTGAAGGCGGCTGCAATATAGGCCTGGCAAAGCATCTTAACTGAACTCAGCCTTGGGTGATGTCCATGGGTTTCAGAATTCAGGCAGTCATTGATTGCAAAGGATTTGCATCCGAGTACTTTTCAGCTGGTGACATGATGGAGGGGCTATAGTAAAAATGACTAATTGCTGAACATTTAATGCAGTATTTTTGTTGTTAAAGCTGAAAGCCTACACTTAAATCACATCTTGACTGCTTCATTTCAAATCCATTGTGATGGTGTACAGAGGCAAAATTCACTGTCCAAATACTTATGGACCTGGCTGTATTTGTTTCCAAACATCTCAGCACATTATGTTCACTGTTAAGAAGCTGTGCTCCATATTGAAAAAAAAAGGTGGTGTGCAGGGTTGGAGCAAATTCCTCTTGACCCTGCAACCTTTGAAGGATTAAGCTGAGTAATCTTAGTCTGTGGCTCTCTTAAGAAGGCTTGGACTTCTTCTTGGGTCTTGTCACCATGTAAACATTTCACAGACAGGCTGCTGAAAATAAACATACTCATGAGAAACAGATTTGTCACATCTAGCATTGCTTTGTTCATGCTTCAGCATGGAGAAGAAATTCAGTTCTCGAAAGGCAGAGAGGATATTTAGTTGGAAATCATCACCTTACAAATCACACACACAAATGCTCATGCAGAGACAGCGGCTTGCATGTGGTTTGAGAATGACATCATACGCCAACAATGTTTGTATGAGGCACATGCAGCCAATACTCCAGTTTGCTCTATTTGCTTTGTTTTAGTAGCTCCTGTAATATAAGAAATGAAAATTCAGAGTAAATACTTTGAGGAAATCCCAGAGGATCCATGTAATACTAGCAGTAAGGATGAATGATTTTGTTCCAGCTGATCAGTAAAGTACTCATGTTTAACTGATTAATGTTTCAGTTCTGACACTGAGTTGAGTGTCCATCTGTTTAATATTCGAAACATTGAACCGTTATTGAGTGTGTTGGGAGTGTGAATGATCCCATTATGATTCTGTAGGAAATATATATTTTTTTTTAAATCCCTTTTTTTCCTTCAAATTAGTTTAGACTGCTAGCTGGGTCTTACAGTGCTTCCAAGAGGATGTGTGAAAGCTAGCATGTGCTTCCTCCATGACACATGTACTGCCACATCTTTACAAACTGCTGCTAACACAATGTCTTGAGCAGCTTAAAACACTCTGAATACCGACTACCGTTTCTGTTCTGTCGCTAACAGAAACCAGCATTACGCTGAGTGACAAGGGGAGAGGAAGGTCCATCCAACCACCCAGAGAGAGAGAGGGGACAATTATGCTCTCTTGGACTCCTGGCCATGGATAGCTGTGGCTTCACCTGGGATTGAACTCACGATGTCCCGACGATAGCGCCAAATATAATAGATTCTAACATTTCATTTTTAAATCCCTAGTGTATGTGAGTCCCAGCACCTCCCCCTAACCCCCACAGTGAAGTTTCATAAAGGCTCCATGGAATCATGGTCTTACATTTTTACCTAAACCCGCTGCATGGCAAACGATGATACCGAGAAGGTTTCCGTTGCTCTTTAGCGTCATTGCCACTCACTGCTTGCACATTGTACAAATGATAAGCTTTCAGCTCCACTCTATATATAGACTGAGGGCCATCAGGGTCCATACAGCACCTCTTTAGCTATGCAGCTCTCAACAGCGGAAGCCTGTGGAGCTTATGCCACATTACAAAGGTGATGTACACCGGTGGGATTCTAAGCCTGTATTTTCCAGTAATCTGATGCTGCTGTGTTGACGAGCATCATGATGAACGTTCCCTTTGAGCTTTCCATGCTGTCCGTTACGTGTTCTATGTGCTGTGTATCGCAGATGAAATCTGTGTAAATTTAATGCAAGTTTTTGTTGTTCTCATTTTTTGCTTTAATTGTTCTGCTCTTCTTTTATGCCTTATTCTTCTGTTTAATCTGTTAAATGCAGGGCTTGGATGGAGGGCAGAAATCCGTCCTGCTAGTCACCCCATCTCCGACTATGAGTTTGATGTGTTAATAGGAGCAGATGGACGGAGAAGCACACTAGATGGTGAGCTACACAGCTTTCAATAAAATTCCAACAACATGAAGTGTATGTAAAACCTGTAGAGGCTGTTTACACCTTGCATTAACATGTTTCATGTCTGGATCATATCTGGATATGCTTTGGCTGGATTTCATTTACGCTTCGCACTGAAATGTGTCCCCTGTGTGACCCAAATGAGATCTGATTGGACTTTCATGTGTATAAAAAAATAAATAAATAAATACACCAACACATGTTGTTTACATTTTACATTTACGCTTAACTTCTGTTTACTTTTTCCTCCTTTTATACTAATAGACAAACTTGACTTTGATGCTTTCATTGGCCCAGAGTGCTAGAAGGCACTTGTTGTGGCTATAGCTCCAGCCTTGTGTATCCTCCGTCTTGCGTTCCTTGTTTATCCACCCACCTACTGGTCAGCACTGGGCAGACGCAATTCTGCCTAATTTTATGTTAGTACCATAACCACATTCCTTTTACACTTGAGATTAATGTGATCTATAATTAACCACCTCTGAATGTGGTTTAACTGATCTGATCGTAACCCATTTAGAATGCATCCTAACTTGGCTTTTCATCAGTCAAGTGAAATCCAAACATGAACCAGTCACTGAAAATGCATTTTGATGTCAGCTGGCTCTAAAACCTGATTGGCTGAGTCACGTTTAAAGCCATTGCAAAGTACTTGATGTTAAAGTTACGTCACACATCAGCTCAATTCTGTATTAATACAGTAAACCATCATGCTGTGCATGGAATAATCTTTGACTGTGATGTTGCTTGCCAGCCACTGTTAACAAACTGGAAGAGCTGTTTAGGGCAATTATTTTTTTTATTAATAATAATAATAATAATAATAATAATAAAATACACCAATGTTAAGTGATTTAACTTATCATATATATTGTCACCATTTTCTAAACTCAGTATGCTGATTCTGTTGTCACATTGCGATTGATAAATCACTGCAATGTATGATTTTGATTGGCTTATTGCTTTAACTAACCACCACAAAGGTCTGTGTCCTGCGGCTCCAATATCTGCCAATCCCCCCCCACAGTTCTGTCACAGTTGGTCTTTCAGAGCCTCTCCAACTTATTAAATATAAGAGTCTAGATTAATTTTGTCGGAGTAAGGCCAGCACACTCCATTCTTTATCTTATCACAGTACACACACCCCAGCTTGGCTCTGCATATTTAGTCAGTTGTATTGGTCAGTGCGTTTTTTGGGTCAAGTCTAGGACAGTGAACAAAACGCATAATGTAATTCACAGAACCTGACATTTTAACCTAGATATATTTATTGTTCCCTGTCGCATTAGCCCTGTATATTGAGAAAGACAGGAAGTGGCCATTTGGTGAATGAACTGGTCCCAGCTGTACATACAGAAGATTTATTTAAGGATGTTCCTAAATAAACTAAACCCTCCCGTTCCAAATGCGTATTTCCTCCTGAACTCGAAATGGATCTGGTCATAGATGAGTTTCCTGTCTGAGGAGTATTCCAGTGTAATTACAGTTCCAGGAACTACAAAAGGAAGATTGTATACTTCAGCATTTCAGTGTTTGCTGGAGAAGTGTTTGCTCCACTTGTCAAATTATAGCATGTGTGGCCGTTTCTCAATTCAGGAACGTTAAACGCCTTTACTGGAAGTTCAGTTGCAGCCCTTTGTCTCCTCTTGAGCCCGTGGCCAAAATTAATCTGCTCCAGAAGAGCGGAAAATGCTGAACAAGCTAGAGGTGCCTAAACAAGACCATGCAAGACTGAACAGAAACATACGGTGGTGTCATAACAAAACTGGTACCCATGATGGTAATCGCATAGGAAAAGGAAAAACGTTTTTCATTATAATGTAAATTAATGCAGTGTTGGACCGTTTCTGTTCATCATGATCATTCATGAAATAATCACACAGCTGCTGTTTTCAAATGATGATAAATAAAACAAAAAAAGATTTTGATGACAGCAATGATACAGTGAATTTCTTTCTCTTCATCCAGGCACTCCCTTAATTTTATTTTCATTTTATAAGTACTATTCTTAAAATCCTTTCCTAATAGTTCATCAGAGTCGACAGATTTTTGTTCCAGACGAGAAAGCTGTATTGGAAATGGGTCAATGTGTTTTATATGTTGATTTATGCTGTCTGAGCTTTGGGTTTAAAATAAAGACTAATAAAAATAGCACAAAAATTGTCCATCTGCAAGTTTGGCTGTAAAGAAATTTGAATCGGGACATGAAACTTCATGATCAGTGCATCCACAGTGAGTAGGTTGCTGTTGATCATTTTTTCTGTGCTTTAGCTCGAAAAAGCGTCCTGGTTAAAACTCTTGGTCTCCACCCAGTACAGAGGGATGACCTAGCGTCTCAAACTCATCCAAACAATCTGTCCCATATTTGACTGTCAAACCCCCGCTCAGCTCTTTGTCTGTGGTAGGAAGTGTGTCTGCCAGCCCTGTCCCAGCCAGCATGGTGCTCCTTTCAGCTTGTCTAGTGCTTCCTGTTGACACAGATATGCTTTCACTCGCATTCCATTAATTCAGCATGAGCTTGTCTGTGTTTCACTCAAGAAACCTTTTGACCGAATGGGGCCAATTATGACCTACACTAAAAAAAAAAGTGCAATTGAAGTGAATTGAATTTACTGATTTTGAATGTGTACATAATTTCTGCATGAATGCAGTGTATTGCATTAACCTATTTGTATTTTGGGTTATGTGGTTTTGGCAATAATTATGATGTAATATATATTTTAGTCATGTGGAAGTTCTTCAAATTTCAATCAAGTAAATTCAGTGTGCATGGGGAGCTCATCGTATCCAAAAAGACTCCTTTTTAACATATTGATTCCTGGTAATGATGTTAGTTTGATATAATGTTAATTTACTGAAACCTTCCCCTCCTCCTTCAAATTCAAGCTTGGTGCATTTCAATCTCAGTACTATATAAACATGCCTTTAAAAGGCAAATGTTCTAGCAAGGCTGGCTTTATTGCAGTAAATGGCATTACTAATGGCATTTACCCCCTATGTTTGGTAATGCATGTCCAGCCTTTAAAGCCTTTTGTTCAAAGAAAAGTCATGTGACTGAGGGACAGAGGTTGGCGATGACTGCTGTGTGTATGATTGTGACCATTAAAGGAGATGAACATAGTTTTATCATTCACTCTAGAAAGATCAAAGATCGCTTGGCTTGATTACTGAGTAAACAGTTCATTAGTGCAGGTGTCACTGGGGTGTTACTGCCCACTCACGGAACTTCGGACGTGTGCTCCAAATGTCAGTCTTATTATGCTCTTACTAATCTTATCTGAACACTGTGCCTGCTGTTATTAGATAAGATGAGTATGTTTAGAGCTCAAATTTGTACTCATTAATATAAGTGTGTTTTAAAAATGCATTCACATGAATGGTTGAAATAAAGATTTTAAAGAAAATAAGAAATTGCCTTATTAGCTACAGTAGCATTCTTTTAATACTCTTTTAATAAATAGATATCACTGCTGTCGAAACAAAACCTGGTGTCGCCAAAATGATAACTTTACAGGAGAAGGAAAAAACCTACTTTACTTTTAATGTAAGTCAATGGAACCAGACTTTTTTTTGGGATGTTTCTTTTGGTCCATTCAAACTGAAAAACAGCAAAAATGGAGATACAAGGTTTTCTTCCGACAGCAGTGAGATATATTTCGAGACTTTATTCGTTTAAGCTGTTTTTCAAAAAAACAGAATTCCTTTTATCCGACTGTGCATAGTACGGATTTTAAAAAACACTGTTAATTAACTTTTGATTAACGTTTTTGTTTATTTGTTTGTTTGCTCTAGGCTTTAGGAGAAAAGAGTTCCGAGGTAAGCTGGCTATTGCCATCACAGCCAACTTTGTAAACCGTAACACAACTGCGGAGGCTAAAGTAGAAGAGATTAGTGGGGTGGCCTTCATCTTTAACCAGAAGTTCTTCCTGGAGCTGAAGGAGGAGACTGGTGAGCTCTCATTTTGTTTAACTCATCCACTAACTTGTAGTTTTACCCTCAACACATGCTGCATTATGGAGTGTGATACAGTAAAGAATTTGTGCCATCTTCTCATTTTAAATTGGCGTTTCAGCCTAAACTAGCATTTAATGTTATCTGTAGTGGATCATTGCATCCTTCAGCCTCGCTGATTTTACAGAGTTCACTACTTCATATTCTTTGAGTTTTCTTCTGGGAAAATCTAGAGACTGTTGAGGTACTGCTATAAGAACAGAGCAGGCATGTAAACAACAGATGTAGTTAAATTTTTCAGTTTGGCTGGAGGACCCCATTAATCTGACTTTAACCTTTATTTGTTCACTGATTTGACTTCACATGTCTGTGACAATGATTTAAAATGTTTAAAATAAATCACCTGCTATAGAACTGTGTCATATTACTTAGATTTATTGTGTCATATTACTTAGATTTCACACCTCATAGCATTTGCACTTGCTCTTGCAAACGTTTGTTAATAATACTCTTAATAATCTAAGGCCATTGTTCATATGTACTGTATTCAGCTTGTGAGTGTTCTGATCTCAGATTCACTGCACACATGGCAAATTGCGGTGATTCCTAAGTATGCAGATTTGCATTGCAAACATTATTGGTGTTGCATTACACCCAGTGCTTACAACAGCTGAATGCAGGAGTCTCAGGAATTAAATTGTCAAATCTCTGGCTGCCTTCTGTGCAGATTATAAAGTACACATATCGCTCAGTTGCTAAAAAGCTATCAGATATTAGCAAGTATTTTTATACAATCCTGAAGTATAATTGTAGCAGAGTAAGGAGATTGTTGCTTTTGTTTATTAATGGTCAGCAACTGCATGTTCTGTGTGTTTGGTAACAGTATTATCCCAAAACTCCTGGACTGAAATGTACTAGGCCATAGCTAAGGTAGCTTTAACTATTCAAATGGTCATTTTCTATTTTCAAATGTGTACTTTCTTATTGAATTTGACAAATATTCTAATTTTATGTTGCTTACTACAAATATTTGTAAAGTGACTTCATTGTTACTTTTTGCCATTAACAGATTAGAGTATATTCAGATTATCCGAATCATGGTCAGTGCTAATCCTGTTTTATAATTATGCTTTGCGTACATGAGCCGATGTTTTCTCTTTCTTTGTGACATTCATTTTATGAGTGTCTGTTTCCGAATAGACTTTCGTTCTCCCTGGTGTTAAATGTTTGCATGTATTCAGCTAAACCTGGAAGTCAAATGGGGCAACACCTTCTTAATAACAAAGACTTGCAAGAAATAGCTTGTTATTATAGGACTGACACACAAGTAGTAATTAGATGGGAAATTATCCAGTGCTAAAGTAGGTGCTATGAGTCAAGATCATGGTATTCTTACCACAATATTATGACTGTATATTTATACCTTGTGTTTATATAATTTATAGCCCTTATGCGCATCAAAGCTAATAAGACAGCTGCTCTGTGTGTTTGTCTGTGTGATCTCACAGCCAACTGACAGCGCTCTGTTAAAGGGCCCGTATCAAGAGAGCCCAGAGCAGAGCGTATTTACATATCGGTCTTACAGACACAGCAATGAAACAGCCTGTTTAATTCTAAAGGATAAAGAGAGGTTGGAAAATGGTTGTGTAAAAATCAGTGAATTATTTTTTGGTGCTAAACCACACAAACATCATAAGTACACGAGTTCAAGAGAAAAAAATACAAGGGAAAAAAATAGAATATGGGATGAAACAGTCATTTGTTATTAATTTCAAGCCCCTGACTTTAGCACATAAGCACAAATGAACTCAATGTGTGGCTTTTTTTTTTTTACAGGGATTGATTTGGAGAACATTGTGTATTATAAGGACAACACACACTATTTCGTCATGACTGCAAAGAAACAGAGTTTGTTGGACAAGGGTGTTATCATTCATGTAAGTAGTGGGATATCTTCACTTTCACATAACACTACAGCACAGTCTGCATTATCTGTCCTTTGTGCCTTTGAGCTAAGTATAGAGTGCCATTAATGCCCATGGGCTATTGTGGAGATGACATGCATGGGAGAGTAATGTTCAAGCATGCAGAAACGTGTTGCTAGGTAAAGAGGGGGATTGCATTTTTCTTCAGTAGTGGTCCAGCTCTTTACGTATGGTGAACAGTGGCAGCTATGGCCACATTTTATAGACTCCCCTCAGAGAGGCATCACTCACACTTAAGCATGTAAAATGGTCAGTGGATTTCTCTCCATAGTGTTTTGTTCTCAGAACGGATTAGTGGGTGATGAGGAAGTTTTATTATTAAATGAAACCCTATCAGTATCAGTATGAGGAAGTCCACCATTACACTAGCTCAGACAAAAAGCCTTCAGCTGCGTCGTTCAGTTAGATGAAGTGAAGTGAATGCTGAACCAAACTATTCATTCAAGAGAACCGTAAGTCATAGGTGGTATGACTATGATGATTTTATTAGCAGTAAAGTTTGCAGGATTTATGAGAGGGTGTCCGCAACTGATTATGTCCATAGAAGGAAATGTTACATTTTAACATTTTTTACAAAGATTTTTGTTAATTATTTATAGGTTTAGTATTTTTACTTATTTATTAAATTGTAAATTGTCTAAATGAAAATCTTAAAATATGTCTTTCTAGCATCAACCAGCCTTTCTTGACTTATAGCCTTATTCTCACCACTGTGGTATCACCAGTCTTAATTTATATTTTTGTAGTGAAATTAGTGTAGATTAATTTGACACAGTATAGAAAACACCTTCGTATTCTAAATCTGAATGCGGTGCCTTTCAACTGAACTCCCTGTTCCTCTCCTATTGCAGGATTACATAGAGACAGAGCGACTCCTTCACAGTGACAACGTGAACCAGGAGGCTCTGCTCTCGTATGCTCGTGAGGCCGCCGACTTCGGCACCAACTACCAGCTGCCCTCGCTGGACTATGCCATCAACCACTACGGGCAGCCTGACGTTGCCATGTTCGACTTCACCTGCATGTACGCCTCAGAGAACGCAGCACTGGTCAGAGAGAAGAGCAGCCATCAGCTGCTGGTGGCTCTGGTTGGAGACAGCCTGCTAGAGGTTGGTTGAAACACTGCTGTCTTTGGAGAGATGTAGGTCACCAGTACAGTAGGATTGTTTGTTTTTGATTATTTATTTATTTTTATCTGTACATTTGCATTCTTGGCTCATATGTCTGAACTCTTTACATGTATAATATTTTTATTAGGCTGGCTTGACCTAGAACTATGAAACTTTGCACAGTCGTAGAGCCTATACAATGACAGTTTGTTTGTGCTTTTGTGACCAGGTGCACCTATGGTCGATCAAACCCTTTTTTTATCCCTAGAGGAAATTAATGGTAGAATGTTGGGGAAAGTTACTGTATCCTTAGAAATCTAGAAAGTGGGACTTTTTTTTTCCTCATGAATGGACCCAGCTACTTGGACTTATGTTATATATTTCGTTAGAGTGATTTGAAATAATTTCATAACTGCCGCAAATGATATCACAAAGGACATCACTCACAGTGACCTTCATAGACATTACATACAGCCTCATAGCAACCACCTGGGATAACATGGCAATGCCCTAGCAACAGTGTCTTTGCAACTACCTGGGATACTATAGCACCATAGCAACAGCCAAGCAGCGCATTAGCATGCACCAGGAAAAACAGCCACAGCCTAGCAACACCTTGGCAACCACCTGGGATAACAAAGCAAAGGCCTTGCAAAATCTTGGCAACCACCTGGGATACCTTAGCAATGGCCTAGCAACACATTAGCAACCACCTATTTTGTTCACAAGCTTTCCCTTCTAATTACTTATGTATTTGTTTTATATTGGGTACTTGCATTTATTTCTTATCTGTTTACTTTCTTATGGCTTTGTAAGAAAGAATTCCAGGTAGTGGTTACATATGGCAATAAAGTTATAGACTGAATTGTTTACAACAATCTTGTATCTTATGAAGTTGCTACATACTTAGAAAGTGGGACTTTTTTCCCCGCATGAAAGGAATGATTGTACCCAGCTACTTGTACTTATGTTATATATTTAATTAGAGTTATTTTATATATTTCAGTGTGATTAACTCTTTGCTTCCTTTGTGAATATATTTCTTAAAATGCTTTTTGTTACGTTTGGGAGACTTTTGCAGAGTGTTTGCTGGAGTATAGGGAAGTTTCATTGATGGACGGTACTAACAAACCAGAAGTGCAGTTTAGTATCTTCTTTTGTAATGTTTAAATTCTAGCACGCAGCAGAGTTCAAAGCTGTGTTCATAACGTGCTTCTTTGTGTTCAGCATCTGAGCAGGAAAAGATTAAATTCCTTTCCTTGTCAGATGGCTGTTTGTCAGTTTGATCTGGTGGTAGCTTCTTAATTCCCTTTGAAGCCCCCCTTATGGAACTTGTATAGATGGAGCATAAAACCTGAAACTGATGCTTGTGTCCCCCTATGAAGTATATAATTCCCATGCAAGGTTAAACATTGATTTATTTGTTTAATCTCCAATATGAGATATTTGCTCATTAAACAAAAGGAAAGGTTAAAATGCTATGTTGTCTGTTTGTCAGCCCTTTTGGCCCATGGGAACAGGATGTGCTCGGGGCTTCCTGGCTGCATTTGACACAGCGTGGATGGTGCAGGGTTGGGCTCAGGGCAAAGAGCCTCTGGAGATCCTGTCTGAGAGGTCAGAATAAACCCCCTAACTATCATTTGTGGTGAAAATGGACTGTGTCTTTAAATTAGTAACTTTACTGGGTTACAGTTATGATGAAATATTGTGTTTAGCTCTCCCAAGAGAAGATAAGGGATGTTTTTGCAGTTTTGTTGTAGTTTTGATCTTTAAATGAATCAATCTGTCATAAACCCAAGGATTTCTTAGAGCTGTGATGTGACCCATAACCCTCTTGATTTATAATCAAGTGCTTTGACCACTGGGGCATAGCTAGTTCTTCTGTTCTAATCAACAGGGAAAGTATTTACAGACTGCTGCCACAAACCACAGCAGAAAACATCATCAAGAACTTTGAGCAGTACACCATAGACCCAGCAACCCGTTACCCCAACCTCAACTCCAACTGTGTCCGACCACACCAGGTACAGCCGTTAGTTAGTACATCTTACAATTTGCATTCACTTTTATAATATACAATTTTACAGTTTTAGCGCAGCCATATTCAGTCTTTTCTCTTTCTTTCCAACCATCTTCCTGTTTGTGTTTAAATCCCTCCGTCAGGTTCGACATCTGTACATTAACGGAGAGCAGAACTCCTGTTCAGTGGAGCGTGGTGGACCCACACGTAGGTCTGTCAATATCACCAGAAGAGGTGAGCTGCAGCCTCTTTATGTACAGTTTAATGAAACAAATCAACAAAGAACCTCAGTCTAGTGGTGTCCTTCATTCAGCTTTTGATTCTGCTGAGAAGCAACAATTGACTGATTAAAAGTATGTACGTTGGTGTGTGTTTTTTTTTTTTTGTTTTTTTGAGTATACCAAATTTTGGAATTTGATTGTGTTGTGGAGGGGTGTCAAACTCAACCACTAAAAGGGCCATATTAAAAAATCTCAACAAATCTGTGGGCCAGAAAACACCTATGTTTTATTTTATTTTTAATCAACATTTTGCTATAAACCCAAATGACCATTGTTTATTCAAAATACGCAAAAGCTTAAACAGTAAAATACAAGCACTTGTAGTAGACCTTAAAAATATTACATGAATACTTGAAATATTCAAAATATAAATGTCCCCAGAAGCTACCTATTTGCTTGAACTAGACTCCTGGCATCTCTTCTTTGCTGCAAGTTCATTAAGACTTGGGCTCAGTTTCTGAGCTGCTGAGATGACGTTAAGTGTGTATATTGGCTGAACTGCAGTTAGTTGTTTGTTGATATGACTGGTGTG